TGACCCGTCACCCAGGACCTGTTTGCCTTGGGAAACCCTACCAGGGGCATATAGCCCCTGACAACATAGCTCCTAGGATTACTCGGGTACTCAAACCCCTCCACCACAATAAGGTGGCGGTTCAAGGAGGAGTTGTTCATAAGGATGGAAAATGCAAGAAATTGACTGTAAAACGGTGGTATTATGTCAAAGTGCATCCCACCAGGATGTTTCTACCCTGTTAAACACTTTCCCTTGGCTCCTCCATCAGTGGTCAGGGCTGGGATAAGGTTAGAGTCACATTGTCACTGCAGTGACCACCTATGTAGCTAGCTAACAGCTACCCTCCTGTGAGCTGCAGTGCCTTCTCTGTCCTGTTTTGTGATGATCATCCAACTTCTTTAGTGGTGTGTGACTTGACCTTTGAGAGTGGTTAACCTGCGTTAAGTAAACAACCGTAATGTTAACATGGACAGGCACCAGGTGTTGAATGTTTCTTGCTAAGTTAATCCATGGAACCATTGGCTGAAGCGACGCATTACTTGGAGTTATTCCTATGCTCATTACTGTAGTGCAATAAAACCTTGGTGAGTTTAAAAAACTGCTAAATGAGAATAGATTTGCAGAAGAGTGATCATTTCAGCTTTGCCTGCAATCTGTCCTCCACCAGTGGTATTTGTTAACCATAGTGAGCATTTTACATATGGCATTCTTACAATCCTGCTGCCGACTGTTGTGCTTTTAAGTCAGTGAGCCAATTTGTTTAATCATCCCAGAACTTCGGCCCTGCTGTGGAAATGCAAATCACAGTGCGCTCAAGAAACTTTTACCCTGAGGAGGGTTCTTGGACTTTAGTCTCTGGGAATAAAAAGTATCAGGCACCTTCTGGTGGACAGACAGCTTTTGTCAGCAAGTGAACAGGGCCAGATTTTGGCTAATTGACTGGGTATGAGTATCTCCAAAAAGGCAGGTCTTGTGGGGTTTCTGGTATGCAGTGGCAAGTACCTACCATAAGTGGTCCCAGAAAGGACACCTGGTGAACTGATGACAGGGTCATTGGTGCTCAAGGCTTATTGATGTGTGTGGAGAGCAAAGGCTAGCCCGACTAGTTTGATTCCACTGGGGATCAGACCCGGTACACCCCTTCATGACAGCAGTATTCCCTGATGTCAGTGGCCTCTTTCAGCAGGGTAATGCATCTTATCACACTGCAAAAATGGCTCAGGAATGGGTTGAGGAACATGACAGAGTGCAGGGTGTTGCTTCAGCCTCCACATTTCTAAGACCTCAATTTGATAGAGCATCTGTGGAATGTGCTAGAATAACAGGTCTGATCCATGGAAGCCCTACTTTGCAACTTGGTGTCAGATACCAGGGGACATCTTCAGAGTTCTTGTGGAGTTCACACCTCAATGGGTCAGAGCTGTTCTGGTGGCATGAGGGAGACCTACATAATATTAGGCAGGTGGTTTTAATGTTGTGGCAGAGCAGTATGTATGTGCTCTGAATGTAGGCGTAATTACTGTCCTGTTGACCATTTTCTATTTCATGTGATAAAAGTTTTGGACGTTTCCTATCTTCTTTGGAGTCAGTTACAAGGAATGTGAAAGTTGCAAAGGCTGGAAATTTGTTTTGAGAAACACTAGGGAAACCATCAATGTGAACATGTATTGCTCTCTCTATTGTGTTTTCTAAAGTGGTGGTGCATTCAGTTCACTCTGGCATTCAAGAATTAATAGTCATCGTCCACCGATATGTTTTCTTTCTTTACAGATCCAGAAAATGAACAATAACAAACATTATGAAAAGGATTATGTGAAATAGTTTTTTCTTGCAGGTAGAAAAAGAGGTCTTGGCACACTTGAATGCAGTAGCAGTTACAGCGTTTGACAAAATGCCATTCACACCTGCATTACCACAACTGACTTGTTAACTGATGCATCACCTATCTCAAACAACAGTTTGCATTTAAAATAAAAACAGCCCCAGACTTGATCAAATTAAACATTTGTCTAAATTAAAATAAAAGACACATTTAATTACAAGTGTGAAAAGGAGGAGGAGGAGGAGGTGTTGGGTTTTGTTTTATCACAAAATAGGGACACAAACATTTGCTCATGTATGTAATTTACATAATAGGATTTGTTATAGAAATGAAATCAAAGAGAAACTGTCTTGTACTGATAAAATGACACTGAGGTCAAGTCATCATTATTTAGCCCATAATTTCAAATTTGCATTAGCAGATTTTACAGTCTGTGCAGTCTATGCAACCTGCTGGTCTTATATATGGAGAATATAATGCTTCCTATTTTACTTATTTATAAATGCATTATCCATCTTATTGGTCTTTCTTTCCCACCTCATATTTTGAGAGCTTTAGCATATGGATTGATCATCGCTGTAGGCTTTTTTTTGTTAATACTGACCCTAGTATGTCTTCACTACTTTGTGTGTCTGTAGCGGTCAGTGGATTTGAACCCAACCCAGAGGGACCTGGTACTGAAGGTGGCTGAGTTACTGGTCAGTAAGGAGGACTGTGACAGCAGAGCAGAGTTCTGGGTGGACAAAGCTGCAAAGCTGCTGCCAGGAAACCCTGCAGTTTTCAATTTGAAGGTGAGGCTGCTTTTCTTCTGAATCTCTAGTAAAAGATCCACAATGCACTGCCTTTGTAAACTGTTGACGTCGTCTGATGCCACACTTTACACTCTGCAATCCTTGCCTTTAATTTTGTAACTTTTCATGTATAGGATTTTCCATGTCAGTCATGTCATGCAGTCCAGGAAGGAGGCACAACTAAAAGTGAAAAGGATACCCTCTGACCTATTTTGGTTTGTCTTTGCCATTCTATGTAGGAGCGTCTGTTGAGTCGTCAGGGTCAGCAGGGTTGGAACCTCCTGTTTGACCTCCTCCAGGCTGAGCTGGCAACAAGGCCAGCTGACGCACATGTAAACGTGAAGCTGGTCCAGCTTTTCTGTCAGGATGGTCAGCTGGAAGAGGCTGTCAAGCATTGCTTGGCTGCTGAGAAAAGGGGCATGCTGAGCCGCAGCCTGGACTGGTATACAGTGGTGGTGCGCACATTGCAGGTCAGCATGGACACAAATGCTGAAGGGCAGTGGTGACTGTATAATATTTTTGATAGGGTAGAATCTGTATGGCTTTTTGAAAGCTTCTTATAATCTGACCTCCAAAATAGTTCTAAAAATGGATGACCTTTTTTGTTCAGGAGTATCTGGCACAACCTAGTGTATCCAGCAATGAAAAGGCATGTCGGCGTCTCCAGAGGGAGTTGCTATTGGCACACTGCAGCCTGCTGAGAATCACACTGTCTGAGAGCACTGTGCAGCCGAGCCTTGATGCACTCAGAGGGTAGGTCAGGTTGAGGTCCTGTGGTGTTGAATATGCTCTCTGTGTCGACAAATTCAGATCTGAGTCTAAAATTGACTTTATTTTGGATTTGGGAGCAATTTGTCCCAAAACTCAGTTTCCTTATGTGTTAAATGAAATCTGTTTGCATACAGAATGCATACAACATTGTTTTTTATAAAAATTTGCATTGTGATCATCCAGGTATGGGAGCGTTCCTAACTTCTGAATTATTGGTAGTGTGAGCCTTTAGTTAGATTTTTTTTTTTACAAATCAGAACATAGTGTGTTAGATCTGTAGGTTTGTTTTCCCCACATTCTAGTTGACTGTTTGATTCCATTTACTCCACTAAACCATAACTGGGGGAAACTGCTATATGTTCAACCTGTGTTTATGTGTATGTGCGCAGCTTTGACCAAGCTATGCAGACAATGAGCAGCATTGCAGGCTGTCACACAGATGATCTTTGTGAGACGTTTGTGGAGATGAGAGGTCACCTCTACCTGCATGCTGCCACACTTCTCTTGAAGCTGGCTCAGAACCGTCAACAGACCTGGAGGGCCGTCATTGATCTGGCTGCACTGTGCTACCTGCTGGCATATGAGGTACACACCAACTAACACAAAGTATCAGTCTTTGTTTTTTTAGTTTTCTTAGTTTCCATTTACAGAGGCCATCAACATGAGGAACTTTTGACTATACACAACTTGTGAATAATGTTAAATTTGTTTGCCTTTTACAAGGTCCCCAGACCAAAGCCTAAAGTGACTAAAAGAGACCAGTCAGCCCCACAACATCTGGAGCTGCTGGCCAACGATCGGCAGAGTCAGGCCGGACACATGTTGCTCAATTTGAGCTCTGATCCACCCACCTTGATCAGAGAGGTTTGTCCCTGTGTTGTGAGTCACTTTAGTTAAAGGTTATAGCCAGTTAACAGCCTAACACTAACTTTAATCATTTCTGACTTGTATTCCCCATATCAGGCACAGACTATATTGATAAACTGATCATTTAGTTTTCTGTGTTTAGGTGGTGGAGGCATTTGGAAACCGTAGCGGTCAGGACTCCTTATTTGAACTCCTGTTTGGACCCCAGGCCCCCACGGGATCTTCATTTATTGCCAATGATGACATTCATTCCATAAACACCGTGGCTCCAGATCTCTCTCAGCTGGCCAAATGTGACACTGGTACAAAACCAATAATCTGACAGAGCACTAAATTAGCATGAAGAGCTCTACAGTTATTTGTGTGTTGTTGTTTTTCATTTCAGGTCCGCTTTCATCTTATTTTGAAAATTTTTAACATATTGCAGAAGGTTTCCATTTTCTTTAGCTAAAATTGAGTCTTTCTGTTTAAATGATTGTAATCAGCATTTAGATGTATCTTAGCTGGATTAATTCTACATTGTAGAAATTATTTATATATGCAACAGATCTTGTATTAGAGTTGATAAAACTTTTAACTACAGTTGTTTTTCCATGTAGTGGCAGGAAAAATACAATTGTGGTATTGCAACTTTTGTGCATCCTCCAGGCTCCATCCTGCTGCATGGTGGTGATTTGCAACATCTGAGCTGGTTGGGGCTCCAGTGGACTTTTTTGAGCCAAAGACCAGCCCTTCGTGACTGGCTGTCACAGCTATTTCCTAGGCTTACCCTGGAAACCTCCAAACTGGACACCAATGCACCGGAATCCATCTGCTTGCTGGACTTGGAGGTAAAAGGAATTATGCTGGCTGGTTTGATGGGGTCACTTAACACAGGATGAAACTTTCAGTTGAAGTCTTCAGATATATATTTAGCTAATCTTCAGTGTTCAGGACATCTTAGGAGTTTAACAACACAGAAAAGATTTAATAATATAATCTTTAGTAAGTACGCTAGAGCTTTCAAAGACTCCAAATTGGTAGAATGTAGCATTGTTTTATCACCGGTTTAAAGCCATTGGTGAGCATGTAATTAACAAAAAGCATGTACTTGTGAGCAAAGAGTGAACATGTCTGCATTTCAGGAAAATTGATTGGCTTGAAACTATTTTAATTTAATTGTTTATATGGCGCTTTACAACACCCAAGGGTGCTCAAAGTGCTTCACAGCAAAACATGTTAAAACACAAACTGAAGAAAAACATGTTAAAATTACACAAATTTGAAACCAAGGTCTGTAGTCAAATATAAAACTCTTGCAATAAAAATGTGTCAGTAATGATCAAACTCCTGGTGGGAGGAGTCCATATTGTACCTGTATGCCTAATGGGAGTTTTGCTTGTTCTTTGGACCTGCTGCTTGTAGATACATTTAGCCTGCCAGATTTGCTTGGATATGTGAATTGTTTGGCACTAATGTGTTTGTATGTGTGACAGTTGTAGCTAGAGATGCACTGATTGATGCATAGTTATTTATTGTGATTTTATTCTGCCCAATGACAGTATGGATTTTTTTTTTAAGTGCTATATAGATAAATTTGATTTGATTGGTGGAGATTGGAAATGGCTGTTTTTCAGTGTGGGCATCCTTGCCCAGTGACTGGCTGATCACTCTTAGATTTCAAATTTTCCGCTGATCAGATTTAGAGGTATGACAGTCCATGTCATGCATGAGGCGGCACAGACCAAAAGAGTCGCACGTGCGCCATCTAGCATTTCGCTTGCACCTCGAGTGAGGCTCATGTCTGTACCAGGCACCTGTTCACTCATACATTAGTATACAAACAGCACACATAGAAGCCTACAGAACCACCTCGGCGAAGGAAAACGATGTACAAAACTCAGACAAATATACATTGAGGGAATTCCTGGCTACAGGTGAAATGTACGTATATGTATGGTGTATCCAACCCACAGCAAATACAAACTGCACACTCTTTAAAAATAACTGCTCAATAGGACTGATGTAACAGACACGGTTCTGTTTCTTTTACATGTTGCACCCATTTTATATTTGGTGAAGTACATTTTTAGTTGGAGGTTTGAACAAGAGTGAGAAAGATGAAAATGTAAAACTAATAGTTTTATTTTTATTACAGTTGAATTTGTCTTTAAAGAAAAGTTACAAAAATGTCTGTATGCTGTCAATTACAGTTCTTAGAAAACTGATATCGGCAGGTCAGACAAAAATCGGAATCAGCCAAGACAACTGCAATCTGTGCATTTTTTATAGCATATTTTATAGCTAGGTCTCTTTTTTTTCATGTCTTGTTTTTTTCCTTCCAGGTGTTTTTACATGGTGTGATCTTCTGTAGCCACTGTCAGCTCCAGGAGACAGCGAAGATCAGCAGTGGAGTGACCCTCCAACAACAGCAGTTGCTTTACGAGCCTCGCTGCCTCCCCCTTCCCCTACTTCGCCTCTTGACCACTGACAGACAGCGGGAGTGGTGGGATGCCATTTACAGCCTCATTCACAAACAAGCTGCGTGAGTCTCAAGACTGCTGAAATCCGGATTAGACACAGGAGAAAAAAAATTAAAATCCATCAGCAGTAATGTAACAAACCTTGGTTAAACACAGTATATTTGCCAGTTTTGTTCACATCTGACATGATTGCTTAAAGTTCTTAAACACCTTCTTGTCTGACTGTTTGCAGTAGTCTGATACTTAAAGCTGTATTAACTAACCTCTTCCTCTAATTTATGACTGTTGAGGGCAAAATGAGAGTCAAACTCTAGCGGTATCACCTCCTCTTCTCCCACCACTCCTCTTTGCCCCTCATGCCCTGTCTCTGAAACTAGGTCATGACAGCCAGAGACAGTTATTTCAGTCAGGTATCGCAGTTGTAATAACTGGCTCCAGAACTAAGGTGTATGAAAATATATAGCCCATGGTTTTTGGTGGCATTGTAGTGACACAATGTCAAATAGAGGTTTACATTTTAGTGATTATACAGACGTATATCAAATGTTGTTTGTAGCGGGTGTATCTGCAGTAATACAAGCAAATTATACAGGGAAATGTTTTTCTCAGTAATATTGATACAGTACTAATGTTCAGGCCACTATTGCATTGCATTCAGTGTTGCGTACTTGCTCCTAGATGCACAGCTACTGAGATGGCATTAGAGTATTATGCAAATACAGAATAATTATGTGTTGTGCCTGTCAAATCAAAGTTTTATGGCTCACAGAATGAACACTGTCACTGTCAAAACACCAAAGTACAAGCTCATTTCAGTGTAATTAATGGTGAGTCCTAATATTCCCTGTTTTTCATGTCATCTCATAGTTCTGGGATGTCAGCCAAGCTGCGGATGGTTGTGCAGCATAGACTGAACACTCTGAGGGCTAGAGAAAAACATGGGCTTCAACCAGCACTGGCCATCCACTGGGCTCAGTGTCTCAGCCAGACGGTACACACACACACACACACACACACACACACACACACACACACACACACACACACCCACATACACCACCCACAAAATTCTGAGAGTCTTGGGATCAGGAATAATAATACTGATACTGTTACAGTCCTTTGAGTGTATTTTTAGAGTCCTGCTTTAAAATTATTATTGACAATTATCATCAAGCATCAAGTTACATTAGACAAGTTCTTGCTGTGTCTTTATGCAGTGTCAGTGCTCCACATACTACTTTTGATGATTTGTAGGCTGGGTAATATGTAACAGGATGAAAATCACATTATGGCACTCTTGAGACAGAACAAGATATAGAGAGATGTATGTGATCCATGATTATCAATATGAATACATAAAACATTCAGCTTCCTTCATTTGAAACTTGATTAAATTGCGATGTGGGTGGCAGCTGTGCCTAATCATGCAGCACAGGTACCACTTCACACCTGCTTCTTTTTACCACTGCTAAATGTGATTAAGATGTCCAAACAGCCACATGTTGCTTCTTTGTTTTCATTGGTTTTATTGTAGAATTTGTACCAGCTGAATAAACTACTTCTATGAAAAGTGCATGAACTGTTCATCTCACCTAGTGAGATTCTCTCTAGACTAATGTGGCTGGCTCACCTTCTCTAGTTGATATCGAGTTGTGTATGTTTGTTTAATAACCCAGGGTGATGGAGTGAACTCGTACTATGACCAGAAGGATTATGTTGGCCGCAGTGTCCACTACTGGAACATTGTCCTCCCACTGTTGGAAAGGATCAAAAACAGACGCAGTATACCTGAACCACTTGACCCTCTCTTCATACACTTTCCCTCCAAAGATATTCAGGTTAATACTCTTGTCATGGAATTCCTTTTATTGTATGAAATCTTGGCTGTAAGTAGTGATGGGTGGATGCTTCTTGTGTCCACCCTTGAATCCTGAGACAGTTTAGTTTTGAGTTCAAAGACTTTAAGGCTTTTGTTTCACCATCATTTGTGAACTTGCATTATATAAGCTATTTTTAGGCTTTTCCTTTGTTTTAATGAATATGAATGTTCTGATTTAGTTTGCACCGTTTACAGATTGTGTATATATTTGTTGCATTTGATTTTATATGTATAAAAAAAACTTTAAGAACCTAGTAGTTGGGCATGGTACAGAGGTTTTTGACATTTTTCAATCATTAAGTGGTTCTATAGGTCAGATGGTAGAGCACCCGGGATTCATTGCAAATATTATGTACCTGTTACTAATAAGACTTTGCAGCAGAGCTCTGATTAATCTTTTTTTGTTTGTTTTTTCAGTCTGTCCCTCTCGTTAATGGAATCTGTTATCAGTTAGCCACAGCCAGCTAATTATCCAGAGTCAGGACAAAGTGCTGCATGTTTATGGCATGTTGTGACTCAGTGGGGCTAATATAGTTAGCGATCATCTGTGTTAATCCATCCATCCATTTTCCTCCGCTTATCCGGGACCGGGTCGCAGGGGCAGCAGTCTAAGCAAAGATGCCCAGACTTCCCTCTCTCCAGACACTTCCTCCAGCTCCTCCGGGGGAATGCCAAGGCGTTCCCAGGCCAGCTGAGAGACATAGTCCCTCCAGCGTGTCCTGGGTCT